ATCTATCTATCTATCTATCTATCTATCTATCTATCTATCTATCTAAGTCTGTTCATTATTGTTATGGGACCTTACCCATAATAACATAATGGACTATTCCATACGTAATAAATACTGCGCCTCAAAAGGAAGCAGAGAGTTCAGTCTGAAGTCTGGAGTGAGGTCCGTTAGAAGTCAGTCAGTCAGTCAGTCGAGTCAGAGGCAGTCCGAAAAAGAGTCGCGTTCAGACATTTACTACTAAACCTGATTGTTCGTACTAACACTTTCTACTTCTCTCTCTCTATTCCTGTTTGTAATATATCAGTGTTATTCCATATCCGTGTTCGAGTTCTTCTTTATTGGTTCTACCTTGGACTATCACCGTGGTACCAGGAACCGGACCATAACAATTATCTACCTACCTATATAGAACAGAGATAGAAAGATCTATCTATCTATCTATCTATCTATCTATCTATCTATCTATCTATCTATCTACCAGTCTGATTCATTAGATAGATAATGAACAATTATCTAGTGAAGATCTGCTATCTATCAATCTATCTATCTATCTATCTATCTATCTCAAAACCTAAAGTGTTATCTATAGATAAAAACCTAAAGTGTTTCCAAAACCAATGCAAAGCCTGACAGGTGACAAAAGAAAAAGGTAATGAAAAGAAAAAGCAACCACCAATAAAACAAAAACCAAGAGAAAACCCGATAGAAGAAAAAAAAAGGGGGGATGCACCATAAGCTAAGGAGGAATGACCAAAAGACAGATACTTGCTTATTCAGTAATATACAGTCATCTATTTCTAAATTAACAAGAGCGAGCAAATAGACATATTAAGAAAGTTATATTAATGCTCTGCCATTGAATATAGCATTGAACCCTTTTTCTCTGGTGGCACTTTGTAGCATACACCTTTCAGAGTTGCTTACTTTTTACATTATCTCTCTGTCTCTCTCTCTCTCTCTCTCTTTCTCTCTCTCTCTCTCTATATATATATATATATATATATATATATATATATATATATATATATATATATATATATATATATATAGCGCGCCACTGGTTATCTCTCTACTTCTACGTTCTTTCCTTAACGATGACCAACGATAGTCGAAAGAATATAACACACATTTTCGATAAGTTCCCTTAC